TCTCTCAGAGATACCTGGCATTGGACCCAAAATAGCCAGTTCCGAGGATACCGGCGACAAAGTGAAGGGCGTCTTCAAGGAATGGGGCTGTAAATTTAAGAAAACTGCCAGCGATTTTGGCGACAACGTCAAGGAGAAGACCAAACAGCTGGGCGAAGATGTGCGAGATGGTTTCAAAAAACTCACTGAAAAATCCAAAGAGTTGCACACAAAATTCGAAAGCAAATTCCACGATTTCAAGGATCATTTGAGCAAGGACTCGGCCGAATTGGTCCCGCATAAGGATAAGAAATTCGTTTTGGAAAATGTCGAAATGATAAATCCCGAAAAATTGAAAGCCGATCAAGAATGTGGTCATGGTTTTATATTGGATGTGTTGGGCAATTGCAAACAAGTGAGGAAGTAGAAAAGAGAAAAAACCGATTCGCTACAACAGACATGTAATTAATATCAGAAATTGCGTTGTTTTTTTTTCAAAAATAAAAGTGAATATGTGTGTGTTTTGCTTATGTTGAAAATTAGTTGTATATTTAAGTTTTTTGTATTTTATAATAAAGTTACGCTGTGATTTGAAATGTGTGTTGGTTTTGAAATTAGTATTATGTCTTTATACCCTCCTTCATTCCCTTGGAGGTATATTAGATTTGTCATTCCGTTTGCAACACCTCGAAATATTCGTATATGACCCTTTAATTTATCTTTATTCTTAAAATGTTGAATGTAGGTCAATGTTTGTGCGTATGTGGGGGTGAGATAAGGCTGGGTTTTCGAATATTCCGAACTAAAAGTGTACAAAAAGTAGTAAAAATTGATAAATTGAATAGATCTAGAACTCTGAAATTTGGCATGATGATGGCTGATGGGGTATAGGATAAATGTAGCTAAGCATTTCTTTTTTTTTTCTAAAATTCAAACTAAAAGTAGTAAAAAGTACTAGATTTAGTGCCTTTTGTATTATTTGAAAGGATAAAATTAAAATCTTGGCATCTGTGTATAAGAGCTATGTTGGGGAAGGAGGCGGTAGTTTTGGAATTGTGTACTAAGTGTAAAACTGTACCAAATGTTACTAAATTTGGTTCAATTTTGGTTTAGATTATAGCCAGAATGTTTCAATATTGATATTAGGGTTAGGCTGTTAGAGTGTAGGGATTTGAAGGAGGTTTTTGGAAATATGTACGTACTAAAAAAAGTACAAACAAGTAAAAAAGCTGTAAGTTCGGCCGGGCCGATCTTTGAATACTCTCCACCATTTGGAACGAATTATGCAATTTTCAAAAAAATAAAATCCGTTAAAAATTCTTTTCAAATCTTAAAAATACCGATTGTAGCCGTTATATTAGGGCAACTTTTGTCATAAGCCATTACAATATTCAAATGCGAAACAAAAAAACATCGGTGTAGCTAAAATTATGAAAATACCGAATATAGGGAGGTACAGATATTTGGGGCCTATACGAAGTCCCAGACCTCCACAGACAATTTTCTGTCTTAGACTGTGGTATCCATTACGAACTTGAAACACAAAATTTGAAACAATTCCGGTGAATAATGTCGCTAAAATCATCAAAATACCGAATATTGGGAGGTAGCGTCATATGGGGGCTATAAGAAGATGTGGACCTGCATAGACAATTTTCTGTCTTAAACTGTGGTACCTTTGAGGTTACGAACCTCAAATACCAAATTTAAAACAATTCCGGAGAAAAAATGTAGCTAAAATCATCACAATACCGAATATCGGAGAGTACCGTTATATGTGGGTTATACGAAGGCGTGGACCTGCACAGACAATTTTCTGTCATAGGCTGTAGTATCCATTACGAACTTCAATTACCAAATTTGAAACAATTCGGGAGAAAAATGTAGCTAAAATCATCAAAATACCGATTATAGGAGGGTACCTTTATATGGAGGCTATATGAAGACGAGGACCTGCACAGACAATTTTCTGTCATAGGCTGTAGTATTTATTACGAACTACAAATACCAAATTTGAAACATTTTCGGTGAAAAATGTCGTTAAATTACCAAAATACCGAAAAAAAGGGAGGTACTGATATTTGGGGCCTATACGAAGTCCTAGACCTGCACAGACAATTTTCCGTCTTAGGCTGTGGTATCCGTTACGAACTTCAAATACCAAATTTCAAACAATTCCAGTGAATAATGTCGCTAAAATTCTCAAAAATATCGAATATTGAGAGGTAGCGTCATATGGGGGCTTTACGAAGGCGTGGACCTGCACAGACAATTTTCTGTCATAGGCTGTGGTATACGCTACAAACTTCAAAAACCAAATTTGAAACAATTCCGGCGAAAAATGACGCTAAAATCATCCAAATACCAAATATCGGAGGGTACCGTTATATGGGGGCTATACAAAGACGTGGGCCTGCATAGAAAATTTTCTGTCTTAAGCTGTGGTATCCGTTACGAACTTCAAATACCAAAGTTGAAACAATTCCGGTCAATAATGTCGCTAAAATCATCAAAATACCGAATATCGGGAGGTACCATTGTAGGGGGGCTATACGAAGACGTGGACCAGCACAGACAATTTTCTGTCTAAGGCTGTGGTATCCGTTACGAACTTCAAAAACCAAATTTGAAACAATTCCGGTAAATAATGTCGCCAAAATCATAAAAATACCGAAAAAATCGAGGTACCATTATATGGGGGCTATACCAAAAAGTGGATCTATATGACCCATTTTCAATACCAAAAGTCCTGCAGACATAATATACAATTGAGTAAAATTTTATCAACCTACTTCATTTCGTTCGGAAGCTAGATTGATTTCCACAGAAGGATAAACGGACGGACATCGCTAAATCGATATAGAATTTTAGGCGGATTAAGAATATAAAGAATAAGAATATAAGAATATAAAGAATATAGGGCTATAGAACTTTAAGTTGGCATCACTTTTTTTAACTGGCGGCCATTTCATCATTAACTGGTTGACAAAAGAACAGCGTTTGCAAATCGTGCAAATTTATTTCGAAAGTAATCGTTCAGTCCGCGAAGTTCACCGCAAGCTCAGTCCATTTTTTGGTCGACATAGTCGTCCATCAGAGCAATTAATTCGGTTAACCATGGATCGTTTTCGCACTACGCTTACTCCGCAGAGAAGTCGAACAGTGGGCACCGAAGAAGCAATTGCCCCTGTAGAGCAAAGAGCCAACAAACCAGAAACGTTAGGGGACTTGGAAGCCAATATTCGTGGTGTTATTGCTGACATACGGCCCCATATGCTCGAAAAAGTGGTTGAAAATTGAACCTGTAAAATTGGATTTATTTGAGGAAGCCGCGGTGGCCACATGCCCGAAATTATTAATTAATGGCATAAAATTATCCTTCCAATAAAGCCATATTGATGGAAATTAAAACGATTTTCTTGTGTTTTATTTCAATTAGAAGTTCTATGCCTCAATATAAAAAACACCCTTTACTAATTGTTTGAATTGTTCGTACTGAATGTTACGACTGTGATCCTCCTCCATAAATGGTATCTTGAAGAAGTTTGTCTTGACCATCTTTCGTTATAACCTTTTGGATCAAACTCTACAGTATTCCTACGTTCAACATAAAATTAGCCTTACATTCATTTGAAATCTTGTGTTTTTCTACCACCCACCATTTCTAATTCTTTTCTGAGAAAGTGTGATTGCCACACAGTTGTGCAATTCTGAATCATCTTATCAGCTCTCCTTTGGTGGCTGGCTCTATTTCTTCAAAGATGAATAAGCTTGAATAGCATAGAAATAATCAAGACAAGTTTATAAATAAAAGTTTTGTAGAATAATTGCCCCGCTGGTCATTCGCTGAACTGCATCCCGTTTTTTATGATGAACATACAAAAGACGAACAATTGAATCCCCCCCATCAAAGATGAGGTGAAGTGGAAGTCTCGCTGCATACATGAAATGGGAGACAATTTGCCTACATTAAATTACATAAATAAATAAATCACTTAACCATAGTGAGCTCTATACAAATAACTGTCGACCAAATGTACTCACAATCAGTTGACCGTGCAGCGTCAGAGCTTCTACACGTCAAAGAAAATTCCAATAAGAAATAGAAAAACAGAAAAAAAAACGGAAAATACAAATTCACAATTGTGGTTGAAATGAAACACCAAGTAATATTCCTATCAGCTCTAATATTGTTGCTCAGTTTTGTGGTCACCCAGGCTAATTTATTTGAATGCGATGATAAATTAGCCACATCGGATGCCACCATCATTGGCCCCAAAATCCCGGGCAACAGTGATGAAGAGCGATCTGGCAACAAAGTCCGAGATGTCCTCAAGGAATGGAGTTGCAAACTGAAGAAGAGCACAGCAAATCTGGGTGCCAATGTCAAGGAGAAAACCAAACAATGGTCCGAAAATATCCGTGAAGGTTTCCAAAAACTCAAAGAGAAATCCAAAGATTTGCAAAAGAAACTGCAAACCAAATATAATGATTTGAAGGATAATCTGAAGAAGGATTCGGTCGAATCAATGGAAATTGGCGAAAAGAAATTGTTATTTAAACCGGATGAAGTCATTGACACCGATGTTGTGATAATCGACCAGAAGTGTGGCAATGGCTTTATTCTGGATGCCTTGGGTAATTGCAAGAAATTTCGCGAGTTTGCCGAGATCATTAATTAATTTATATGAGTATTTACAACAATAGCAAAAAAAGAAGATTGAATAAAATTTCAACAGAGTTGTGTGGATGTTTTCAATGAAGAGTAGATATTTTACGAAATAAAGTGATGTGAAAATGTTGTTCATCAAAATTTTGTATTGTTTTTATACTCTACGCCAAGTGGTAACAGGGGGTATATGTAATTTAATACGGCCAAAATGTGCCTCATCGAAATTACGATTTTAGACAACGACTTTCGACAAAATATGTTTCAGGAGTCGAAACAGCGTTGTCCGTTCGTGTACTCTCAAGAGAGTATTTCATTTGGTCCAAACTTAGTACATCGTAATATTGTTATAAAATTCGTAGATGAGGAATATTGATTCACACCTTCTGGTACTTCCCAAAAAAAAATAAAAATTTTCAATAAAAAAGAAATAGAAAGGATTATCCAATTGTGTCCAAACAATGCATATCCTAATATTTATAGCGGTGTTAGGCTCTATGCGAAAGTGCACATATTGACCCACATCTTCTAGTACATCCCCCACGAAGGGTTAAAAATTTTAAAAATGATGACTCTTATATTTAAAATATAACACAGGATGTTATCTGCTTTTATAACAATATTACACAAAGCTTTTACTTCCCATTGTAATTTTGGGTTTTTGAAAAAGAAAAACAGTAAAGAAAGTCTTAAAGTCGGGCGGGGCCGACTTTATGATACCCTACACCACTTTGCTAATTTAGTAGAGCTCCGAATGACAATTAAAAGTTTTTATAAGAGAATTCAACCATGCACGCTATGATTATAATTATAATTTAAAGTTCAAAGGACTAAATATGTCGAAGCATTTGTATCTTTTACATTTGGACATGTATTGCCCATTTGGTGCACAATTAATTTGAAATTGGATAAAGATATATATGAGAGCTATATCCAAATCGGAACCGATCTCGATAAAATTTGGCAAAGATATTTCTGAACTGTATTTGATAAATTTCCCTGAATATCGCTGTTACGGAGTGCATATTACGGCTGTGGGTAAGAAACATGACAAATCGGATAAACAGTATATATGGTAGCTATAGCTATATCTGAACCGATCTTCAAATTTGACATACTAGCTTTTAGACTCAATTCGGTGCCAAATATCATCCACTTTGGACAAATATTAGACGTTTGGTGCACAATCAAAGGTAAATCGGACGAAGTTATATATGGGAGCTATATCCAAATCTGAACCGATCTCGATAAAATTTGGCACATGTATTTATGAGCTGCATTTGATATATTTCCCCGAATATTGTTGTTACAGAGTGCATATTACGGCTGCGAAGGACAAAAATAACATATCGGATGAACAATATATGTGGGAGCTGTAGCTATATCTGAACCGATTTGATCAAATTTGGGATACTTATTTTCATGTCCAATCTGATCGTACGTGCAAAATTCCAATTTAATTTTATTGAATGAAAGCAAAAAAATTTCGGAAATATCAAAATTTAAAATAATATATATATTTTGGACCATTCCCGACGAAGCGCTTGCTTGAGGTGATCGACATTTTGGTATTTTATAGCGCCAACCTTGCTTTCCAAAATGCTCCAGACACAATAGTCCAACAAATATGTATCTGGAGATTTTGGTGGCCATTGTGCGCTGGAAATGAAGCGAGAAACCTCATTTTGTAACCATTCTTGGGGTGCGCAGAGTGCGATGGTGCTGAGTCCCGTTGGAAAGTCCAAGGTCTGTGGCCAAAATGTTTGCGTGTCCAAGGCTTTAATACACCCTCCAGAATACTTTCGCGATAATATTCGGCATGTATTCTGATGTCACCGGTCGATTAATACGAGCGGAGAGCAACCATCGCCATGGCCGGCGCCATGAGAGAAATATTTAATGCAAGTTGTAAAGAATCGCTGACTTGTTCGGGGTTCCCAGATACATATCATCTTCACAACAGATCTTGTGTTAACAAAAATTTTTACAGAGGGTTGGATGCTCATTTGCTTTTTAAAATCTTGAACCTTATGTGGGAGAGGTATGAAAAAAATGGTCCAATCTTTACAATCTTTATAACAGATCTTGTGTTTATGGAAACATTGGTATGTACCAAGTCTGAATGGAATCGGATGTTAATTTCGTGTTTTATGAGCTTCATGAATATTCCAGAAGAAGTGGATCGATATATTCCATCTTTAAACCAGATATTGGAAGATTTTAAGACAATCAGACTATTAAACACATTTTATGATAGGTGTAATTATATTGTCCATTTTAGCACCTGACCTAGAACTGACGCAAATATTAGGATTTGCAAAGTTCGGAAATCGAATTCGCATTACCAATTCTCTTTCTGTTCAAAAAATATTTTTTTTTTAATTTACTTTTATGGGGGAGGTACAAGAAGGAGAGGACCTAAATATTCCATCTTAACACCTTGGTTTAAAGAAATATTGGGATTTGAAGACAATCGGACAAAAAGACATTTAAGTAAGTTTTAACTATTTAAAATATTGGCCCTTTGTGGGGGAAGTACTTGAAGGAGAGGACCGATATATTCCATTTTCTTATCTGACGTAGCACTGATGGAAATATAAGGATTTGCAAAGTTAGAGCAAAATCGGATTATTATTTCACTTTTTGTGGAAAAAATATTTTTTTGGAAAATTTCGGCTTTTTGTGGGGGAGGTACCAGGAAGGAGAGGACCGATATTGCCCATATCCTAACTCAATCTAAGTTTAATAATAATATTACGATGTATCAAGTTTGGATCAAATCGGATAATCCCTTCAAGAGTTATCGTGCTCACCAGCCGGGCAGACAGACGGACGGACATAGGCGGAATAACTAGCACCAATATAATGTATTGTGAATTCACCATTACATTAAAGTAATGGATTGTTTTGCCCACTAAATAGACTTCTGTTCTGATCTTAATTCCACCTCTATGCTTAATTTCATGAGGATCGGACGAGAATTGCGACCTGCAACGTGATTGCAAATTAACATGGACAGACGGAGGGACATATATAGCTAAATCTATTCGGCTTAGCGACATAGGAAGATCCATACCTGAATTCCCATGTGCAGGACAAATATTTAGAGGTCTTACATATCAAATTTAAAATACCCCACCGCATAGTGAACGCATAGTGAAAAAAACATTTTACTTACATATAAAAAAAAATATTACTTGAATTTTGAAATAATTCGCCAAAAGTTAAATATATTGAGATGTCAGCCAGACAGTTAGTAAGCTCTAAATCTTGACTTTTCGTTAGTTCTGCAGTCATCCTCGATAGTATAGTGGTTAGTATCCCCGCCTGTCACGCGGGAGACCGGGGTTCAATTCCCCGTCGGGGAGAAATTAACTTTTTTTATTTATTCTGTTTTTATTGAAACTTAGCTATGCCGCTCATGTGTATTCAAAGTAAAAATCATTTTTTTTTTTCATGAACACAATTGTTTTCTGTATTGCTATGACAAAGTTTGTATGGAGGGACAAATCGAGAATAATCGGATAAGGCCAATTTTAGATAATGATTTTAAAAACTCATTTTGCAGTAAAATCCGCACTTTTTGTGATTTGATGCAAAAATCGCCAACAAAGAATCTTTTTAGAATGATGACATCGATGACAAAAATATTCATTATTAAATTTCGTTATACAACAGAAAATAAATATCTATTTCATTAGATATGAAAGAAATATTTGCATTAATGCATTAAAAATAAGTAAAAAGGGCTTTAGGTTCTGCCGGGCTGAACTTTTTACTCTTATGAAAAGAGTAGAATATGTTAACTTAGAATATTAATCTGATTAAATAAAAATAAAAAAGTAAAAATAGCCCAAATAGCAAAACCCATATTATCATCTAAATTGGTTGGAAATTGTGGCAGAAACCTTCAAAGAATGGAGGTATTGTTATATGAGGGCTAGACCTTACTTTTTGGGACCTCCGACGAATATTTGGAGATGTTGAAATTTAATGACAAAATTAATATACCCTCCATTGTATGGTGGGGGTTATACAAAAATTCGAAAATATCCCCTTTTTTGGTTCAAATTTTCCTCGGTCTTTTTTATGCCCTCTGCCTTATGGTTATAGAGGGTATATATCATTTGATTCGACCAAAACGTGCCTTGTCGAAATACCGGTTTTAGACCCTAGGTCACTTTGGACCAAACCCTTTTCAGGACATTTGGAGTCGATCTAGTGATATCCGTCCGTCCGTCTATCTGTCTATCTGTCTGACTGGTGCGCACGATAACTCTCGAAGGGAGTATCCGATTTGTTCCAAACTTAGATCGAACTCGGAGATGTGCAATATCGGTTCACTCCATCTGGTAACTCCCTCACAAAAGGTCATAGCTTAAAAAATATATTTTACTTTACATAATACTTGCTTCAATGCTAGGTCAGGTGCGAAAATGGACAATATAGGTCCACTTCATCAAGAGGTAAAAAATCAAGGGGTAAAACAATATTTCTATTAACACCAAATCTGTTATAAAGATGTAGAGATCAGGCCATTCCTTCCGGTACCTCCCCCACAAAGGGTCAACATTTTAAATAAACAACAAGTAAAAAAGCAAAATACCCCCACCATTTAGAACGAATTTGAAAATTTTCGAAAAACATAACATTCGCAAAAATTCATTTTAAAACAAGTAAGCAAAGGCTACAGTCGAACGGGGCCGACCGTTGAATACCCTACAACACTATAATAAACGATACAGTTTGTATAGGCGAGATACTCGAAAGAATTGCACAAGATATTGTGACATATAATAAAATAAAACCATCAGGTTTCGTTCTCTAATTTTCGAATAATAGCAAGGTGAACTAATTTGCTCATTTCCAATTTATTGGTAGATGTTGCACGTAAATGGTCTTCTTAGATCTGGAACCAATATTTCCCAAAGACCTATAATCTCTCAGAAGTGGCAAAAGATTAACATTTATTATTGGTTTTTGACTGAAACGCATCTATATGAGATACAGACA